AAACACCATGGAAAGCTGCTAACAACTTGATCCCATTTGCAATTTAGAAGTATCACTCTGGGAACAGCATAGATAGTGTCTCAGAAAGGGTGTGGGCCCCTGTTATCTCTGACCACCATGCTGTGAAACACATAGTTAGCAGTTTATATCCACTCTTTCACATCCCTCACCAGAAGCTACTGAGTTTGTTTTGTTCAAGGCAAATGAGCCAACTCCATAATCTGTGCTAAGGTAAATGAGAATAAAGGAACTTGATTTCAGCTGTTTAGTTTCTTTTTCTTTTTTTCTTTCTTTCTTTCTTTTTATTTTATTTTATTTAGCTACATTCCCAGCCCTTTTTGATACTGTATTTTGAGACAGGGCCACTAAGTTGCCTAGGCTGGGGACTAGACAGGGCCACTAAGTTGCCTAGGCTGGGGACTAGACAGGGTCACTAAGTTGCTAAGTTGCTGAGGTTGGCTTTGAACTCGAGATCCTCCTGCCTCAGCCTCCCAAACTGCTGAGATTACAAGCGTGCACCATCACACATGGCTCCGCCTGTTAGTTTCTAAACTAATTTCCCCTCAACTTGAAGAATGGGTCCCTCAAAAGAAATTTAAATTTGCCAAAGACATTTGGGTAACGGCTTCTGGGTTACAAATAAAATAAAATATGGTAAGACCAGAGCACTGAAAAGCATCCGCAGCTGTATGAAGCCATAAAAGTATGAAAGCTTTCTGGGTGCTTGACCTTCCTTTGGGCTTTGGGAGACAGACACAGGAAGGAGGATGAGAGTAAAGTCCAGGATTAGAGCACTAGCTGGGTGCCAGAGGGATGCTCACCAGAGCCAAGTCCAACATCTCTCCCACTGTACCTCTGAACCAGCCATCACATGTCTGACTTAGAAAAGCCTGAAATAAAAAGTTCAAACACCACTCCATAAGAAGCTAAAATCTACCCTTCACTTTATTTTCTTTACACCCTGAGGAGGTCTAACTCTTCCTTCATGCCCACATCAAACTCGAGACGGCAGGCTCCCTAGAACTGCCTTTTTTATTCTGTGTGATTTCTGCAACTTTCTGCTAAGCATCTGTGGGTCTTTAAAGGAAATAGGGAAAGGTAGCAAAGATACATCTGTACAGCAAAGCCACGTGTGGCCCAAGGAAGGGGCACATCAATCAAAGCCAGAGAAAAGATTGCTAGCAACCTGGGTATCAAATTGTGTCGGGGAGAAGGGCTAGCTGCAAAATAGATTATAAGGACACTGAACAAGAGATAAAAAAGACAAGCAGTACCTATGAAAATTAACAAGAGGCAGAAGTGGCCTAGGGGAGTGGCCCGAATTTGAGGAGTCTTGCTCCTTATAAGAATGTTCTAGTGTTTTAGCGAGTTATACCAACTTGTGGATAATGCATTCGCCACTTCCTTGTTGGTGTTTTTGCCACTCTCAAACCAGGACTACAGTTCTGAAAGAAATTAGGAGAAGTGGGGAACAGACAAAGACATTTATGTGAGGACAGGAGCCTCCATCTGCAGTGCATCCTTCAGCCAACCTCTGGTCCAGCACCAATTCTACATCTGTTGCACATGGTGCTAATATGGCTGCTGAACCTCTCTCAACTGGGCTAATGCTACCCATGAGTTATTCTGAATGTTGAAAGAGATGGCAGGAATTAAAGCATTAGGTACAGACATTGGCACAGAGCAGGGGACTCCAGAACAAGGCACTGTTCTGTTATTAAATAAAATTTGGAATTGAAAGTTGTTTCTGAAACTTTAAATTTCATCTATGATGTTCAGGCTCTGAGTGCACTCCCAGTTTCTTCCTTTTCTCAAAACCCTGGACATTCTGCTCTCCCTGTCTGTAAGTTCCACACCAAGGAGTCTACTAACTATGAATTGAAAGTACCCGGCGGGGGCCAGGGGGATGGCAGGAATTTGCAAAAAGCCAAAGGATTTGTCTCATCCAGTGTTCTACAGAATCCAGGTGAATGAAGTGACATGTGGGTCTTAGTTATAGTCTAAATAGAGATGATTAAAAGTATTTGAGAGCCTGTGAGTAGCTTAGATGCAGATGTATAGCATTTTATACTAAGAAACTTGAGCTATCTATGCATTTGGTATCTGCACAAGTCCTGAAACCAAACCCCTGAAGACACCAAATACACCATTTCTCTCTTTACCCCAACTACTATTATTGTCTCAACCAAGTGTGCAGTCCTCCCAGCAAAACAAACCTTAGTAAGAAGGTGAGAAATATCTTTTGCTCCCGGAAGTGATCATTTTGATGGTGCTTTTTGATCTTGCATGAGCGGCATCATTGCTGGCACTTGGCATAACTGAGAGGACACTTACAAATCCCAGCACAAATTCGGGTGTTGTTCAAACTTAACTTGGGCTGAGGATGTAGTTCACAGGCAGCGTGCTTACCTAGCATGCTCAAGGTCCTGGGTTTGATCCCCAGCACCACACACACACACATCACACACACACACACACACACACACACACAAATCATTTTATATATGCACTTAATTTCTATTTCAAATTCCCATTCTGCCTAGTAGCAGAAACTTAAAAGGCTTCATCTAAGCCAGTTGGGAACTATATCCCTGCTCCCTGAAAAATAAGTTATTTTATAACGCCCAGGTGCTATGCTTGCTGGTCATGGTAGACATTTAGGGTTGTCTACAAAGCCTCTGGTTCCCTTCTTCCAAACACACAGGAGGGGTGTGTTTCCCCACAAACCTGAAATTCAGTGTGATCATGGGACTTGCTTTGGCAAATGAAACTTGAAAACAAGTGGCATTTCCAGAAGGGAGTTTTTAAATGCCAGTTCATGCTTTTCCTCATTCTATTTTTTTTTCCTCCTCTGCCACTGATATTGGCAACTTTCTCCCAAGTTCCCAAGTGAGGACAGTGCTGACGTGACACACAGAGCTTTAGCTAATCTGCAATACACATGTAGCTTGAATAAGAGTCTTTGTTGTTTGAACCACTGAAATTTACTTTTGTTGCCATTGTTTTTGTTACCTCAGCTTATTCTAGCACAGGTCGTGTGAGCTTTGTGTTATTATAACAGAATACCTGAGATAATCAACTTAATAAGGGAAAAGGTTTGTTTTGGCTCATGATTTCAGAACTTTTGAGTCCATGGTCAGTTGCTTTGAGCCTATGGTAGCATAGTACATCTTGGCAGGAACGTGTGGCAAAGGAGACCTGTTCACCTCAGGGCCACCAGGAAGCAAAGATGGAAGAAGAGGTCAGTTCTCACTATCCTCTTCAAGGGCATGCCCCCAAATGACCTATTTCTTAAAGATTACTCCACCTCCTAAAAGCACCACAGACTGGGAACCAAGCCTTTAACATATGGGTCTTTGAGGAACATTTCAGATCCAAACTATAGTACAGGTGATGTTACCCATGTGAGATGTCCTTATTTCTACCTTGTCCACACACTCTGAGTGCTCTCAGAGGACAGGGACCATTTTATCGTTACATCATCACATTGGGCCATGAGAAACTATGTGGCATTCAGGCCCATTTACCCAGACAGCCCATTCCACTTGGAGACTCCCTGACTGCCCTGAGGTTCTACCAAAGGAAAGACTGCCTTCCTCCTGGCTGGGGCTTCCCACCACTTCAATTCTCCAGGGGGCTTTGGCCCAGCACTTTTCCCCAACCCCCACAACAGTTACCTTCTTCCTGCTTTTCCTACAAGTTCTACTTGACCCCCTCCTGCTAACATGGGAAATCTTAATCTGGCTTCAGACTGGAGGTTGTGTTCTGAATTATTAGATGCTTCCCCAAAACCATGACCTCTGCTTTGTGTTCTTTCCACCTCCCAAGTGCTGAGCTTTGAGAACTCAAGAAGCCAAGAATTGCCCTCCCCCCCTTTAGGACTCTGAGTTCTGCTGGATCCTCTTCTTTCCAGGCAATGAATGAGGAATGAGCCAGTTTCCTGACTGGAGCAAGAACCAAGGAAATGGAGTGGAGAGCAGCCGGGGTGACAGAGATCTCAACTGACATTTCAAAATATTGTCCCGTATACAGTATTTGTCCAATCATGAAGCCAAGAATCAAAATGAGTTTCGCTCAAAGGAATCAACTGTGACCATTTTGAGCCATTACGCAACCTCGGTGGCCGTCTGAGGAGTATGTCCTTTGTATAACTTGTCATTGCAAAACTCCGTGGGAAAGCGTGCATCTCCCTTAGAGGCAGTACCATACCAAGGGCCAAGGCCATGTTTTCCATGACTCCTACGAATCTCCATACTTTGGGAATCTGACACTTGCAGGAAGCAACTACCAAACAGCAAAGAAGATACTCCACCCTCCCTAAGCTTTCCACCGCAGGATGTGTGTCCGGCACCAGGCATCTGCGACTGAGATCCTGGAAAAGAGTTCCCTTTCTGTTCTGGGTGCTGAAAAATAAAACACAAGCTGTAAATGTGGATCCCCAGTAGGCTTCCCCTCAGTTGTGATCTGCGATTGCCCAAAAGGCCAGGCAGCATTTCCTGTGGACGGTGGGGGCGAAGCAATCTGTAACCGGCTCACGCCACTCTCCACCTGATGACACTGATTTTTCTAATCTAAGCATCGGCACATACCAGGTGTTCATGCAAAAAGAAACAAGCTGACCCAGTCTTCTCCTCCCTTAAACTCTTTCACAACCCTGCTAAACCAAACAGCGGAGCTAGCCTATGGGTGCTTCACCCGCAGCGCTGCAGCCAGAGCAAAGCGGGGAGACCTAGGATCAGGAACACTGGTGGACAGGGTGTTCTGGGGGCGGGGCTTCAGGAGGACGGAAGGACCTGGGGCGGGGCATCCTGGGGCGGGGCGACCTGGGGCTGGGCAACCTGGGAGCGGGGCATTCCGGGGGGTGGGGCATCCCTGGGGGCTGGGCGTCCTGGGGGTTGGGCATCTTGGGGGCGGGGTGTCCAGGGGCGGGGCATCCCGGGGCGGGGCATCCTGAGGGCCAGTGGCTGGGGTGACAGGGGCGGCGGGTGCCTGAGGGCGGGTGCCTGAGGGCGGGGCGGCCTGGGGCTGGACGGCCTGGGGCAGGACGGTGCAGAGTTCAGCCTGAGAGTGGAATAACGGCAAGGCCTGGGCCTAGCCTGTTGGTCCCGTTAGGGTCTCGCTCGTCGCCTGCTGAGTCGCAGCTGCACCCCTGGACACGTATCTTCTGTGGCCGCTCAGGCCGCTCTCTGGCTGCCATGGCCCTCGTCGCCGGCCTATGGGCCTTCGGGTTGAAGGGGCCGGGCTGGCTCCTGCGCCGTGCGTGGACCCTGCACGCTGCCGCCTTCTGCAACCGGGGGCTGGAGGCAACCGGGCGGCCGGAGTCCGAGCCGCGGCTCACCAGCGCGCGGCAGCGGGACGGCATCAGGTCAGCCCGGGGGCCGTGCACGGGGCTCTCCCGGGGGTGCTGAGGGCCAGGACCCCGGAGAGCTGAGCAGAGCAGGCGCCCGCTGAGTCCGCCGAGCGCTGGGCAGGCAGCCAGGTCTACCCTCGTCGCCACTGACCCGGCGATTATCCGTCACCGCCGAATCTGGCCGATAAATCTCCTTGGGGGAGGAATCCCTGCTTACTTACTGAGTTTAATACTGTCCCTTGCCTGGGCACGCTAGCAAGATACACGTGGGGGTGACATAAGTGGACAGCCTGGGACGGCCTCGCCACGCTACGGCTGGTGTGCCAGCTCTGAGTGCGCCCACCGCTGCCAGGGCCTTCGAGAAAGCCCTTCACAAGAGGGCTATGGACCCTCTCAAGCTTGGCCTGGCTCCAGGATGATGGTAAACTGAGCTGAGTGGCTCCTGAGCCCTGGCCCATAAGTGCTGAGGCGACAGCAGGCCAAAGAGTATAAAGGACACCCCGGTCTGAATGCTGCCCTTTTGAGCAACAATCCTAAAAACCTTACCGACATTTCTGTGCACAAACTGCCAACTAGACAATGGAGTAGTACAGATTGTGCAGTTCCCGACCCTAAACAAAAGGGGGCAAGTTTCAAAATTTTAAAGTTTCCAATCAAGCTGTTTAAGTGTTTTTATTCTCCCACCCTGACAAGTATCCCTTCAGACGTGGACAGCAGTGTTTGAATTTATAATCCTCAGACTCCTAGGTGTTCCTCCCACGAAGTGGAGAGTCACCGCTGGCCTCTGGCTTTTTCTAGTTCTTCCCATCTCCTCGCACCCCTACATCTCCTCCATCTCTGCCTCCTGCTGTCCTGCCAGGGGCCTCAGGTCTCAGGGCCAGCATGCCCATATTCTCTCCATCCCCTCATTTCCTGCACATCACCGTTCTTGACCATCCTTGGGCTTAGGGGCACCCACCACAGGGGCAGGGAATTCTAGAATCTCTATAACTATTGGGGGGCTTTGAAGGGGAGTGACCCCAAGCCCTGTGGACTCCTTGTCCCTTAATAGGGACAAATAGGAACATTGCCGGAAGAAGACCAGAGCAGTGTTCCAAAGTGCAAGGCCCACACGGGATCTTTTTGCCTGTTTTTAAGGGCAGTCCTGCTTCTATACATTTGGTGATTTCTGGTCAGGAGTCTGACTTCTGTAATGGCAACCTGTTACTAAAAAAGTACTGATTGAGTTCTCCAGAATTAAACATGAATCCGAAAGGGAAGTGATTGGAGCAATCTCTTAATTTCTAGGAATCACATATTAGGAAGGAAACCCTAAATCAAGTGTTAAAGCAGTACTGTTAGGTACTGTTAGTGGGCCCAACCAACTCGGTCACCTCAGTGGCCCCTTTTCAAAACTGTGCCTCACAACAATACTGCCATCAGGTAGTAAGAGCCAACTATGAATGGAGTGTTGTGCCAGGCACTCCGCATTCCTTATCCCTAATTTTTACATGGGCCTGCAAGGTAGATAACATTACAACTGCTTAACAGTGAAGAGTCAAGTTCAGAGAGGTGATCGCTTGCTTGTTCAAGGCCACGTAGCCAGGAGGTAGGATCAGCAGGAGTCAGACAGAATTCCCTCTGCTGCTTCTGTGTTCCCGACATTTTTACATATCTAATGGAGAAATGGCACTGAGCCAATGTGTTGTCAGTCCACTGTGACTGATGGAATTGGCTTGAAAGCCATACATGCAGTTTTGTCACTAATTCATTTGACATTTATTGAGTGTCTCTTATGTGTGGACATGACTGTTCCTCACTTCACAGATCTTCCTGTGGTTTACAGCAATGATCTTCAGACAGATCATCCGGACATTTATAGCTCTTGCCTCTACATTTATGTCCCATGTCCTGGTGGTGACCTCATTCTGAAAGAAATTTCCTTGTAGATTTGGTGGTGTAGGTGAAGTTTTCTGTATGAGGCATCAGGTGCTTTGAACCAAGACAGCCACTGGGAGAGTTCGGAATGGTAAGATTTTTAGGAGATATTATGAACAGGGTTTGATGGCTGATGGAGTAAGGAAAGGATAGAAGTCTAGAATAACTTTCAGGTTCTGGCTTGGGCAATGGAGCAGCAGCACTGAGATAAGAAAGAGAAGAGGGGCAAGTCCAGGAGTGAGAGGAAGATGCCCCAGGAATACCTAGGTGGAGCTGTCTAGTAGACATCTGAGTGAACAAGCATATCTTGGCTTCTGGAGAGAGGCTTGAACCAGGGCTAATGACTGGGAGCTGTTAGCATAGATGGAGAAGCTGAGGTCAAGGTCATTGATAAAGTTTCCTAGCAAGACCCTTTAGAGCAAGAGGGCAAACGATGGAACTCAGGATTGCCAGCATTTAGAGGATAACTGAAGGCTAAGTGCTTGTGAAAGAAGTCAACAGGGGTTGGCCAGAAAAGGACCTAATGAAAAAAAAATTAGAAATTAAAAACCCACAGAAAAGAAGGAATATTTCCAGAAAGAGAAAGTGATCCAGATAGCCAGTGAGTTTGCTTCTGGCAATTAGGAAATGACCAGTGAGAAGATTTTCAGTGGAGTGGTGGGAACACTTTTCAACTTAGTTGAACTTCACAATTTAGAACACTCTGACAGTGTGTGTAATGTGAGCACCAAAGGATTAATGGGACACTCGGGAACCGATACTACGGTGCATGCAGCAAGGGCATTCAGACTGGAATCTTTCTGCACAATTTTGCCTAAGGCCTTAGAATTTAATTTAAGCATATGTCACCAGTGGGATGGCAGCTTTTTGTATGTATTACAGTGAGCACACTCGTTATTCCATCGCAAGGTAATAAGCAGCTCTCCACTACCACTACCCCAAATATAGGTCTGGAAGTCTATCAGCAGATCAGTTGTAATCTTTGTACATATGGGAGAACATCTTTTTGAGAAAGAAAACAATATCACAGCCACCTGAGAACTGCAGCGAAACTGAAATGGTATTCCAAAGAAAATGGTCACTGCCTTGAAATAAATTCAGTCATCAAAGTTGCTTTCCAAAACGCTATGGCACAGAATGCTATTTCTGGAGGAGCCAAGTTGACTGCATAGCAATGGGAATATCAGATTCAAAACAGAATAAGGAAGGCAGAAAGCATGTGTAGGTGGAGACTGATAGGAAATTTAAAATATGTAACAATAATCTGCTGTTTGGTTCATTGCCCATTTCTTATAAGAGCAAAAAATAAAGACATTTCCATGGAAGGAAATGATTCAGGTTGTTTTATTCAGCATGTGCGATATTTTCAAATTGCAAACAGCCCCTTTGAATGCCAGCTTTTTGTGAAGTGAAATGTCCACCCTCTTCTGGTAGGCTTTCTTTTCTTTTCTTTTTTTTTTCCTATATACATAATCCCATTCTCAGACAATGCAAATTATTTTGCAGAATTACGGGACGCCACTGTCAGATTTTAAAAAAAAATCGCTGTCATTCGTATGTGCATATTGACGGTGGCACCTCAGCTGCCTTTTCTTTGGGGTGAGTGGGAGGAGTTTGGGGAGCATTTTCATTCTTGGCTCCTTTCCTAACCTTATTGTGAAGAACAGCGCCAGGAAATAAGTTGAAGGTAGGCACTGTTTGTCACATTTCTCAGGCTCCTGTCACTGTCATACCAAACTCACATCCTCCATGGGCGGAGATGAGTTTGGAACTGTTGTGACTTGCCCCTTCTGTGGAGGTGGCAGTCCCGTTTCTGACAGCAAATGTGGGGGAAAGGAGAAACAAATCAAGGGATGAGGGAGAAAAACCAGCCTGCAATTCGGGAAGTCTTTGTTTTGTTTTGACTTAGCTGTAATTCCAGAGAGCTGATGGACACAAAATTGGCACTAAGCATCAAAACTTCTTTTTTCCCTTGGATTTTAAAAGCTCCCAAATTAGAAAGGAATCACAGGGGTCCTCACTTGTTCTGACTGGTGCATGACCCAGGGATTATAAAATGTGTTTCACAGGAACATTGTCTTGAGCAATCCAAAGAAGAGGAATGCACTGTCACTTGAAATGCTGAAATCTCTCCAAAATGACATTCTTCATGAAGCTGAAAGCAAAGATCTGAAAGTCATTATCATTTCAGGTATTTGTCTGTCCTTAGTGGCCCACAGTGCCCAGAGGAGGTGCCTTAAGATTCTTTGGTTAATTGGTGCATTCCCTACTTAACTGGAGAATTGTTTTGAAGTTCCTTTGAAAGATATTTGATGTGGAAAACATTTGAGTACTTGGGGACTTGGTCCTAACACTATTAGTGTGAAATTTGTAGCAAAGATTTCTGTTCAGGGAAAACAGGTGTTTTTTTCCTCTTTAATAGATACTAAGCATTGTGGGACTTTGCTATGCTAGTCTTCCCATCAAATCAGAACTGGCGCTGTAGCTCAGTGGTGGACTGTTTACCCAGCCTGCATGAGGTTCTGGGTTCTTTCCCTAACAATTAAAACAAAAATCAGAGAACCAATTTCTTCATGGACTTTACAAAATGAATTTAATCATTAATCCTTCTAGTGAATCACAGTCAGCTAGGACCTAGTTGTTCAAACATTTGATTTATTTGTCTTTTCTGTTCTTATCAAGCCTTGTATCCAATATCCACAAGGTCATCTTTAATGGTCCCAGAAAGCATGCTGCAATTTGCTCATCTCTTCCCTTGCTTTTTTTCCAATAGGAGTTTTTATAGAGTTATCTTCTTATGTGATGCTGGTGGTGGTACAAATAACAGTAATGTCAGCATTTTGAAGAACCCCAAGTCAGGAGCAGTGGTGCATGTCTATAATCCCAGCATTTGGGAGGCTGAGGCAGGAGTATCACAAGTTTGAAGTCAGCCTCAACAACTTAGTGAGACCTTGTCTCAAAATTTAAAAATTTTAAAAAGAATTGGAGATGTGGCTCAGTGGTTAATCCCCCTTGAGTTCAATCTCTGGTACAAAAAAAAGAAAATCAAAGGAAGAACCCCAGAAAAATGTAATGATAATGCTCTATGATGCTTTATTTGTTTGTTTTGTAAATCAAGAATCCATATTTCTGGAGGCAGATACTCCAAATGTTACCTTCTTAGCAACGGCCAAATAGAAATTTTCAGCTGTTTTGTATGGTGAAGGAAAACAAAATTACAACTAGTAGAATCCAGCATCCGAGTGAGGTGTAACCTGGATGCAGAATTGGCCACTAACTTCTTAACTATAACTACACTACTTCCTCCCCCATGGAAAGGTGATATATTGCCTTTTCCAAATAACCACAACCAAAGGGCAATCAATATGAGAAAGTGTTCGCGGCTGACCTGTGGAATGGCATTTTGTTGCAGATGACAGTGGGGGCAGCCACCTCCTCTGCTCTCTCTGCTCCCTCCATAAAACAAAGAGCTTGAGCCAGATGGTTCCCAAGGTTTTTTCACACTCTGACCTTCCTGATTCAACCCCTATGAGTGTCCTTCACCTGTATGCTAAATGACAGGCACATTTCCTAAGGTGTGGTGGCTTTCAAGGACCTGTTTGAGTTGGTTCACTCAGGCGAGACGGAGTGCAAAAACAGAAGCCAGACACTGGAGGGACAGTTCTCTCTGTCATAAGTACCTTCCTGTCAGGCACTGTGGTGCACACCTGTAATCTCAACCATTCCAGAGGCTAGGGCAGGAGGATCGCAAGTTTGAGGCCAGCCTCAGCAATTTAGCAAGACCCTGCCTCAAAATAAAAAATAAAAAATGGACTGGGGATGTAGCTCAGGGAAAGAGCACCCCTGGGTTCAATCCCCAGTACTGAAAATAAATAAATAAGTGCCTTCCCCTTGGTCACCAAAACCTTTCACTTTGTTACAGTATTGTGGCTGTAACTTTCCAAGTGCCCTGAGAGTATTCTTATTAAACTTGTGCCATTTTCTCTGCATAGATATGATTGGTTATTAAAGTTGCTCAGTAGATAAATAAGTGAATGATCTGCCTCTTGCTGTTGACATCTTTTCTCACTTGGAAACACTCACAGCTGAGGGCCCTGTGTTTTCCTCTGGGCATGATTTAAGGGAATTGACAGAAGAGCAAGGCCATGATCATCACATGGAAGTGTTTCGGATCTGTTCTGAGGTAAGCCTGGTTAAGTGTGGACATTGCAAACCTGAGACCCTGGGTCAGCCTCCTTGTTTACAGATCAGATTTTATCTAGGAAACCTGTCCACCATGGTCACCGGTGAATCCTTCATCCCAGCAATTATTTGGATTATACTTTTAAGAAGTGACCATAATTTGCTACTGATTTTATGTGCCAAAGAAAATAAATTACCTGATGGTTCTCAGCAGCCAGGTCCAACACCGTGCGCAAGTGCCTTGGTGTCCAGATTTTGAGCAAGAGGGAAGAATAAGAATGTACATCTTTAGAGAGGAAGGACCTAAAGCAATGATAATTTTAAAATGTTTAAAATCAAACCACCCTGTTAATGGGAAAGAGAATATTTCTAAATAGAAATAATAATAATTGTTTAAATAAATTAACCAATCTTTATAATCACCACTGCCACAGAGGAAAATTAACCTCTTCAATTTTGCTTGTTTTCTGCTCCTTTCACCATATTGAGGAGAAAAATTGCCAATAACTAGAGGAAGAAAAGGTTTAAAAAAAAAAAACTTTAGATGATTTATAAATGTGTTGATTCACCCCTTGGATAATAAAAAATTGAATATAGAATCCAACTTTAGATAACACCTTGTTTGTTTCATGAGCATTTACTTATGCTACTTTAAGCATGATACTGAGGAAAATATAGGGAGGGAAAGGGTCCTGCCAGACTGACACTGGCAAGTCTACTTGGGAAGCAGGACATGTGAAACATTCCATCACCTGACCCTGAGATAGCTTAATCTTTCCTTCACATGTTGGTTTATTTGGTGGTTAATGATTCAACTAATATTTAATGCCAGCTACCATGCAGACAAGTCAGAGGCAAAGAGGAAGGACATACAGACACGTTCTTGACCACCATGGGTTTTCTTTGTTCTTCCAGAAACCCACAAGCAGATCAGATTATACTTTTCTCATTTCATGGAAGGACAAACTGGAAAGGTGGTTTACCTGAAGCTTCGTGGGGAAGCAAACTAGGGCTCAGACTGAGGCCTATTGTTTACTATGTTATTAATATTTATTGCCAAGGCTTGATATTTTCTTTTTCTTTTCTCTCTCTCTCTCTCTCTTTTCTCTTTTTTTTTTTTTTTTTTTTCATTATGTCAAATGAAATGTCACTCAAAAAAATCATTATTGTATAAATCCACACATAGAAGGTGGAACTTTTTTGGTACTGGGTATTGAACTCAGGGACACTGAACCACTGAGCTACATCCCCAGTCCTATTTTGCATTTTATTTAAAGACAGGATCTCACCCAGCCGCTGAGGCAGGCTTTGAAGTAGCAATCCTCCTGCCTCAGCCTCCCAAGCCACCAGGATTACAGGCATGCACCACCATGCCCAGACTAAAGAGTAGTCTTCTACTAGTACCCCATGTGTGGTGAGAATTAAAACACATTAAGAGAACCGGGAGCACCTCCTGCCCTCCCTAGAGGGACAGCTCTTATCACTCTACTGCAGTATGTCAACGAGCTGAGATCTGAACAAGTTGGCAAAGGGCCTCATGGGAAGCAGCCAGGGCTTCTTCAAGGACCAAGTCCAAGATGGTTTCTTGGAGGCTTCCACTCTCTGGATGCCTCTGGCTCACTGGGAAAGACAGCACAGAAATGGGACCTAGCCCTAAAAGTGAAATAGGAGTTCTATAGAATTGATTTCTTTAACACTATCTCTAAGAAATTCAGATGGTCTTGAATAAATACGAGTATGACGAACTTGTGCAAGTTTTCAATTTCCAAGTGTAATCAAAAAGCAGATTGGAACAGAATGAGCTCGATATTTCATTGTTCAATTCATGCATGAGAAAATTTGATTTTAGAAAGGGAGATAGAGGCATCTGAATTAGCTGGCCATCTAAAAACTCTAGGGAATTTGTTACAGATCTCAAGTGCTCTATGATGGTTGATTATTTACAAATTAGGAGGAGGGCAAATTAAGAAAGAGAATAAGAAGAACCTGGTAGCAGAATAGCTAAAGTGACCTTCTGGAGCACTGATGGCTCACACAAGAGGCTTATCGCCAGTCTTTCTTCTTATGCCTGTTGAAATTTGAGGGAAACTTCATCCTCAGGGAGAGATGCTTCTTACACACCACCCATGAAATGATAGTGGGACAAGGTCTCTCATTTTTCCAAATAATTTGGATCTCTTAATAGTGCTTTTAAATGCAGGTGGGCCAGCCTGCTTATCATGTCACATTCTTAAGTAGAAGCCAAACCGGTGCTTACTTCTGGAAGGTGAGAGGGGAGGTATCTCTGATGATCAAGAGTTTGATTATCTAGGTTCCCTTTGCCTTCTAACTTTATTTAAAATATTTTTAATTACAAAAATAGTATGTATTTATGACAGGAAATTTTGGAAAATTTAGAAAAACAAAGAGCAGAAAAACAAATTACTAATGCCATTCCCAAAATCAAATTTTTTCATGCACGAACTGAGCAATGAAATACCGTATTCATTCTTTCCCAATAATCATACTACCCAGAGAAAACTGTACCTAATATTTTAATGTGTATTTCTTTTCCAGTTGTTAATGGACCTTTATTTTATTCATTTATTTATATGTGGTGCTGAGAATCAAACCCAGTGCCTCACACATGCTAGGCAAGCACTCTACCACTGAGCCACAACCCTAGCCCCTGTAACTAATATTATGCTGCATTTATTTTTAATACTTTTCCCTAGGTACTCATTTGTTTGAATAATCACATATAGGTGTGATTAGAGTATATAATTGTGTATTGTAATAAGATTATAGAACTGAATGTTCCAGGGCTGAGGTTGTAGCTCAGTGGCAGAGCACTTGCCTAGCATGTGTGAGGCACTGGGTTGGGTCCTTAGCACCATATAAAAATAAATAATAAAATAAGAGGCATGCTGTCCATCTACAACTACAAAAAAAGAACAGGAAAAAAAAAGAACTGACTGTTTCAGGTAATATTTGGAGTACTCTAGGCATATTAATTTATATAATCACCATGTTTCATATGGTTGGTACTGATATTATCCTGATTTTGCAGATGTGAAAATTGAAGGGTTAGGTGACTTATCCAGGATTAGGCAGAAAGTAAATGACAGATAGATAGGGCCTCCCATTCCAGGAGGCTGCCTCCAGACCACTACATGAGCCCGGACTGACAGCCAAGCTGGTGTTTCCCTTAGAAAATAATTAACCATCACTACGGACAATGCTGCATTCTGTTAAGTGGATTTAGTTGAGTTTACATAGCCACTGTTTTCGTCACCTTTGTAGTACTATAACTGAATACTTAAGGCAATTAACTTATTAAGAGAAAAGGTTTGTTCACCTCCTGGTTCTGGAAATTCAAGTCCATTGCTTTGGGCCTTTGGTGAGGACACTGGCAGTAGCAGGGAATATGTGTCAGAACAAACTGATCATATGAGGAATTAGGAAGCAAAGATGGAGAAAGAGACTAGGGTTCTATAGTCCTTTTGAGGGCGTGCCACCAATGACTTCCCATAAGGGCCTCCCTCTCACAGGTCCCCTCCCTTCCCAACAGCACCTCCTGAGCACCAAACTTTCTTTCTTTTTTTTTTTTTTTTAAGTTTTCAATGGACTTTTATTTTATGTTTTATATGCAGTCCTGAGAATCAAACCTAGTGCCTCACACATGCTAGGCAAGCGCTCTACCACTGAGCTACCACCCCAGCCACAGAACCAAACCTTTAAATAATGGACTTTTGGGGGACACTCATCCCAATGATAGCAGCCATTTACTTATTTTCATAGAGTTGTATTATTTAAAAGGTTTTTTTCCTATTGTAAAATAATGATTTGGTGAGCCTGTTTGACCATGGAGCTTTGTACCTATTATCTTAGAAGTATAATTCCTAGATCAAATGTATAAGCATTTTTAATGTTGTTGAATATGGACCATATAACCCAAGTATTTCTCTATCAAGTTTTTTGAAATCCTGGTCCTTCACAGATGGCAGACAGGACACATAGGCTGTTCAACTCTAATCCCAGTTGACTGGCTTTTCACAAGTAACTCCTGGACAAGAGAACAACCTGCAGAACTAAACAAAACCAAACAAAACTTCTTTCTTTTCTTGGCATCAAGACTTTAGAAGGTCTTGTGAATCCTTCCCCTCATTATTCCAGATCATGGGAATGAGTTCATCACGAGTCAACCCCACCCTTTTCCTAAAGTGCATGTCCCTGCTCAACTCATGAGCAGTTTAGTGTACAGGTATGTGTGTGCATGTACACATGCATATTTATGGGAAGATTGGTTATTTTAGCAGATTCTCTAAAAAATGACCCCCCCCCCAAAAAAAACCAAAAGGTTAAAAAAAGGCTACTGTGAAATATGATGTGCTAGCCTTATATGTGTCATTTCATGTTGGGGACAGATCTGAGAAATGTGCTGTTAGGTGATCTCACCATTGGGCTGATATCGTAGAGGGAACTTGCACAAAACTAGACACATAGCCCACTGCACACCCAGGCTATGTGGTGTATAGGTATGGTACAGCATATTGCACCCAAGACCATGAAAAGTAAAATGGCACAAGACTGATCAAGCACAAGAGATGAGATAACTCCAAGGTGCAAGAGGCTGCCACCTATGTAACGTAGCATATAGTTTTACAGTAAAGTAGCTTTTTTTTATTATTATTATTGGTCGTTCAAAACATTACACAGTTCTTAATACATCATCTTTCACAGTTTGATTCAAGTGGGTTATGAACTCCCAACTTTACCCCGTATACAGATTGCTGTATCACATCAGTTACCCTTCCATTGATTGACATATTGCTTTTCTAGTGTCTGATGTATTCTGCTGTCAGTCCTATTCTCTACTATCCCCCCTCCCCTCCCCTCCCCTCCCCTCCCCTTTTCTCTCTCTACCCCTTCTAATGTAAATCATTTCTTCCATTTGTATTATCTTGTCTTACCCCTCCTTTCCTCTTATATATCATTCTCACTCCCTTTCCCTCCCACCTCTCATCCCTGTTTAATGTAAATCTTCTTCTCAAGCTCTTTGTCCCTACCCTTTCCTTGTTTACTCACCTTATATCAAAGGGGTCATTTGGTATTTGTTTTTTAAGGATTGACTAGCTTGTAAAGTAGCTTTTTAAAAAGGAGGAGTACACTCTAAAATACTAATAAAAGAGTACAGCTGGGAGCTGGGGGCACAGCTCAGTGGTAGACCACATGCTTAGCACACACAAAGCCCGTTTGTGCCTTCAAGTCCATCATCAGCACCAAACATAATTTTTAAAGTGTGTATACTGAACATCGAACAATAGTAGCTGTTTTTTTTTTGTTGTTGTTTTTACCAAGCACTATGTACTGTGCCCAATTCTGTGTGTAGTGCTTCCTTAGCATGGGCAATGCAGTGGGCCAGCTGACCCATCACCCCAGACTGGTGAGCAGTACTTTGCACTATAGTGTTATGACAGTTACGGGGTCACCAGATTGCAGGAATTTCCCAGCTCCATTACTATCTTTTTTTAAAATATATATTTTTAGTTATAGATGGATGCAATACCTTTATTTTATGTTTATTTATTTATATGCGGTACTAAGGATCAAACCCAGTGCCTCACACACACTAGGCAAGCGCTCCACTACTGAGCCACAACCCCAGCCCCTCCATTACTATCTTATGGGACCACGGTCCTATAAGCAGTCTGTACCTGATCAAAATGTTATTATTCAGCGCCTGTGTCATTGGTTATTTTAGGAAAAAAGCTATCCAATTTCAAATGTTTATGAATATAAAAAATAAGTTTTCTAAGCAAAAATCTTCAAATCATGAAAGTCATATTTCTTTGAATTGCCGCCTTGGGGAAAAAAAACCCAGATTTGGTTCCTCTCTTCCCTTCCTCTCTGCCAAGGTTCAAAGAGCAATGATTTAGAAATTGAAGTTGCCATAGCAACACAATCTGTTTAGAGCATCAAGAAAAAAAATAAGCTGCAAAAATAAGTTAAAGTTCTGGCAATTTGTGTGGTGAGGGTCACATGAGCACACTTTGGTCTCCCCTCTCCGTGCCAGTGGCTGTTTAAAGAATTTTGTTTATTTTGATGACAGCGGGGTGTCCCCTTCTCCCCATTTTAATAGAACTGAGAGAGCATGCATGGTGGTAATTTGAGAAGTAATTACTAAGGAAATTGCCTTCAAGTCCTTCTCCACCTTAATTTTTCAAGGAAGCACCAAGTACCAATTTCAGACTTTTAACACAGGGGCTTCACACAAGCACAGGGAGAACAGAACTATTTGTGAAAGCTTTTGTTTGTTCCCCAGAGACAAAAATCCACACTGTTTTTAGTGGGAGTGCTGGGGAAGAAGGCGGAGGGGACCCCCTCACAGAGCTGGGCTCAGCCCGTGGCTTCCACTCCCCTCACTGGCCTGAGCCAAGTGATTTCCACCCTCTGAGCTTCATGTCCTTGCTACCAAAAGGGATTCCTTCCACGTGGAGCTCCCACAAAGACCAAATGATGCTTCAGCGTGGACATTTAGTACAAGTTAGTGCCTTCATTCTTTTTTGCATAGAATCATATGAAAAGTGTTCTGGAAACAGAAAAGTCATATAAAATAACAGGTATTAACGTGGCTCCTGACTCTGCATGCAAGTGAAGTGGGTGTGTCTCCTCCTGCAGGTCATGATGCTGATCCGGAACCACCCGGTCCCCATCATTGCCATGGTCAATGGCTTGGCCTCAGCAGCCGGTTGTCAGCTGGTTGCCAGCTGCGACATTGCCGTGGCCAGCGACAAGTCCTCTTTCGCCACTCCGGGGGTGAACGTGGGGCTCTTCTGCTCCACCCCTGGGGTCGCCTTGGGGAGAGCAGTGCCCAGAAAGGTAACTCATCTTCTGACCTCTTTCTAATTTTTCCTCTAGCCCTGTGAGAATTAGGTTATAAAAAGTACTGATTGTATCAGGATATTCTGCCCAAAGGCTCTTTGGCTGGAAGTGCCAAGTGTTCCTATAATGTCAGAGAGGGAGAGGCGACTGCTTGCTCCTCCGTAGCTTCTCACACTGGATGCCAATTTGTGAATTCACCACATTTCAATCTTACATGCCCTTCAGTATGACTAGTTAGGTTTTTCAGTTTGTTTGTTTTCCTTGCACAGACATTATTTTTGTAATTTTATTTGAAATGCAGTGGAGGCTGAGTTTCATTGCACTGAATGGTTGACCATGAAATACCATGGCACGCCTACATACTTCCAGAATCAAGAGGCTGGAATGGTGTCCCTGGTCAACCACATGTGGACAACCTTTCTTGTTCCAGAAAGGATCCAGTAGATGATTTACTGAGTGTATCCAGGTAACTGTGGTTGCATTTCAGGAACATGAATATCCTGTGCATGGTATGTTGAATCTGTCTGAGAAGGGGACATGTTACAAAGTTGTCTTTTCTTTGCTGACTACAGTGAAGTCCACTTTCACCTCAAAGCTTTCTTCCTTCCTGAAAATACCATAAAATAATATTTACTGAGCATCCCTTATGTGTATACCCACAATGCCTTTGTTCTAGGAGAAGTGCATCCTCATTCTCAGTTGGAAATCTATAAAAGGGGGGCAAAGTCATAAATATGGCAAGAAAGGAACTAGATTGCTTTCTAGAATATATTATCTATTCTAGCAACAACTACAAAATTAGCAACTGCTGACATACCTCAGGCTCAAAAGAAATGAGACCCAAGAAGAATCAATCAAATAAGGCCAAGAAGATTAGGGAACACTCCTTTCTTCTATATTGCCTCCTTATTAGTTTTTATAGAGATGTGTGTTTATGAGAAGATTATGAAAACAGACACCCACAAGCATGTATACCTCAGAAAATTACCAGGAAGTGGGATCCACACTGCAAAAGGTGACAGCTTGCTAAAATGTCCTCCAACAAAGGGACTTTTTTATTCTGTCAAGATTCATGTTTTCTCTAAATGTATAGATATTCATTCACTGAGTATTTTTGAGGTTGCTACTTCTTGCCAGTATGTTAAATTAAGATGTATTGCAAATCTATTGACAGAGCTCACTAATTAACTATATTCTAGCTGCAAATCAAATCATGAAGACTTTGCATACCAAAAAGCAGGTGTACTGCCTGGTAGCTGTGCATCCTCTTCAACACCTGACTTGCTGGAAGGTTCCATGGTAAAGCATTTGAAAAATTGGTTTCAGAATAAAAACCAATTTTTCTTAAAATAAACTTTTGAAATCAAGGCTTATTAGAAACTTAACACTGTATCATATTAATGAAATTTAAATTCGTTTTTGAGAAGAGAGAGGGGTAAATGTGACCCCAAAAAAGTAGGACTTACGATCCCAGGAAGCCCAATTCTCAGAACCACATTGTAAAGTTGTCCAGTGTGACAGATGAAGGTACAGGGAGGTTGTAAGAATCAAGGTGGCTTTTCTCTCCCAGAGACAGTTTGGTCAAAGAGCCAGGCCTCCCACAGGATGGGGCAAAGAATCTCCTGGATTGTCTAACTCAGATTCTTGGTCTCGTGCTCTGACCCCCAGAAGGCCTCTGAGTCACTTGACTCAAAACCTCAGTTTGTTTTTTTTTTTTCCTAATCAGCGGCTGAAAACAGTTCAGAATCCTGTCGCAATGGACTCATTAATACTGGACTACTTGGAGGCATGAATCTGGAATATGATTTGGGGTCAACACTAATGAGCAGAAATGGCTCATTAGTGATTATTGCAGTATTGATAGAGGGAATTTTTAGGAGGAACAGTCAGAACGTAAGTCCTTTGCCAGGTTTCTGGATCTGCAGAGGTGGCCTGTGTGGCCTGTTTAGGAAGAAACATTTGGGATTCATAAAATCTAAGCCTGGGGCTGTAGCTCAGTGGCAGAGTGCCCGCCTAGCATGCATGGGGCACTGGGTTCGATCCTCAGCACCACATAAAAAAAAAATAAAGGTATGTGTCCACCTACAACTAAAAAATAAATATATATTATATTAAAAAAATCTAAGCCTGACTGAAAACACCTCCCTGGGAGTCATAGAAATCTAAACTCAGCAAAAAGCACTTTCTATCACCTTTTCTTGATTGCACTCATGCTAACACAATACACACAGGTCTGTGGAGCAAGTGTGTAAGTCCCTCTGTTCCTTCCCAGGTAGGGAGCAGGTGTTTTTGCAAATTGGACTAGTCTGGAAGTCCCAACCCTTTTCAAACAGGTTGAGGACATGTGTGGTTGACTAGTGCCCTCTGCTGGTCACTCTGGGAACCTGCTTGGCTGTGTCCTAGACTGTGTACTGCCCTTGTGGTCAAACCAGACTGAGTCTGGGCATGAATGATCTTGCTCATTTGTGAAGTGCTTCTCTCCTTTGGCATGAATTAAATAATGCCTCTTCATTGAGCCATATGGGTACCCAGCCTGGTACAGCTGTTGCCCTCCCCAGTCAGGGCAGGCCTCATTCATAAATGCACAGCCAGGAATCCCTGGAGAGCAAGAGAAAAACCAGAATCACTTCCCAAATCATTCCTTTCACCATGGTAGGAGCCCTTGCTTCCAACCATTTATGCATTTTAATTTCATGTGTCTGTAGAATCTGATTTCCTAAGAGTCTAATGGGAACAGGGTAGAATTTCCAAGCAGGAAAGAGTTTTAGATCTCTGCTGCTGTCTGGTACTGGTCAGCAGAGAGCCTGAGGTAGGCAGCATCTCAGGCCTGCTGCAGATGAACTGCAGGTTAGCAGTGATGGTAGGGACATCAGGGCTTGAGAGGTACAGCCTTAGAGAACATGCAGCTCAAGAGTTCCTAAGAGTTTCAGGAACGTTTCTTAATGTTCCCAGTTGGCTTAGGCCCATGACCCTCCCTGGGCATGCTTCCTCTCCAGAGCTTACCTCCTAGTAGCTCCTACGCATTGGCACTGCCGGTGCTGTGAGAGAGCGGGAACACGTGTGCACACCTTGTGGGTTCTGCTCTGTCTCCCCTCCCCTCCAGTGCTCACTTCCTCCCTGCCACCCGTGCATCCTGGGAGATAAGCACCATGTGCTATGGCCTGAATGCTCCTGTTCCTCCAAATTCTTACATTGAAACCTAATCACCAAAGTGATGATGGCCTTAGAAGGTGAGGCTTTGGGAGGTGATGAGGTCATGATGGTGGGGCCCTCATGAATGGGGTTAGTGCCCTTAAAAGGGGGCCCCAGGGAGCTGTCCTGCCCATTTTCCCCATGAGGACCTATTTTCAGTCTATGAACATGGAAGGTTCTCACAGGACCCCAAGTCTGCTTTTAACTTGGATCTTGGACTTTCCAGCTTCCAGAATTGTGAAAAATAAATTTCTGTGGCTGATGAACTTCCCAGTTGATGGTATTCTGTCTTATAACAGCCTGAATGGACTAGGACACCGTGCACATCCAAAGGACACAGTGTGAGGAGAGAGTCCCCAGGGTGCTATAGTACACAATCCTGTCAGCTGTGTGACTTAAGGGAGTCCCATGCTACCCCTGCTTCAAATAATCATCCCCTTTCCAGGACTGCAGTGCCTAGAAGCCAAAGTCAGAGAGTCATAGGAATTCACAGTTAGAATAAGTACATTCATATTAGCTGCTGCATTTATTGGGCACTGACTGAGCACCCAGCACTGCATCGTGAGTTTTACATCTGTTACCTTTAATCATCACAATACTGCAGATAGGCAGAAGTCTGTATGTCTGGCTGCTTGTCCTTCTCTAATTGGCTAATTGAAGGGCTGAGGGAAAATAGTTTTTCTATTTAGATGAAATCCCTCATGTACTAGCTCAAGTTCATTTCCTGCTTGTTTACTTTTGGAGGTCCTACAATAACATTAGGATTTTTAATGCAGAAAAGAATGTAAGAGATTGTTGAATTCTTGCTTCTACTGTAAGCAGAACTTTCTCTGCCTGTCAAATGAGGGTTCTGCCCTACTCCTGCATCTCCAGGAGGTAGAATTCCACTTTGTCTGGAAGTGATTCAACTTGGAGATTTATTAGCTATTTTCACTTTTTATTTTTTAGTTGTCAATGGATCTTTATTTATTTATATGCAGTGCTGAAAATCAAACCCTGTGCCTCACACATGCTAGGCAAGTGCTCTACCTCTGAGCCATGACCCCAGCCCTATTTTCACTGTTTTAAGCAAGTTTTTGGAGTTGCTCCAGAATTAAGATTTTATATATATAGTATTCCTGTGTGTTAGCTCTGGCTGCCATAACAAACACCAACTTCGCACTGTGCTCCCATATGGTGGAGAGTGAGTGAGCTCTAGTGTCTCTTCTCATAAGGACACCAGTCCCATCTCATAGGGACCCCTTCCTTCCTTACGACCTTGTTTAACCTGCATTACCTCCTTCTAGGCCACATTTCCAAATACCATCATGCTGGGACATAGGGCTTCAACTTATGAACTTGGCAGGGGACCACCTCTCAGTCCACAGCACAGCACTTGACCACAGTAGGTTCTCTATTCAGATATTGTTGAAGGAATGAACCAAGGACATGTGATTCAAGTTCCCCCTCACAGAAGCCGGTCACCTTCCTTCACATACATGGTTTGTGCCAAGTCCCTTGCACTTGTCTCCTGCGAGCAAATCATCACGATTTTTTCTGATCCATGTTTTGCCCAAATGAACCATTTTTTCTAGCATCTCCATTGCACTTGATGTGACAGTGTGCCCTGTCGCCATCAGTTAGCTCTTCTTCACAGCAATCCTAGGAGACAGTCATTTGTATCCACGGGTTCCTGTTGAGGAAGTGGGAGGTGACAAGCCACTTGCCCCAGGGTCTTTCAGAGGCTCGGCACCCAGCAGGTGTAGACCCCTGCCTGCAGCCTGCCCCATGCTTGAACTCCAAAGGGTTTGCACTGAAAACGTCTTGGCACTCCTGGAATCCTGTGGAGCTCCAATATCTGAGGCTGCCAGGTGATTTAAAATGGCACAGTGGGGCCCTGGAGAAGGTGAACAGAGAGAAAAGGAGACTCAGGGGAGGCAGAGCAACATGAAAGGAAAAAGAGTCACTGAGAAGGGCATCTGCCAGAAGGTGCCTGATAAGGGGACAGTGCCCACGGACAAATCATCAGCCCAAACTGCCACTGCCACTGCATGGGAAGGAATAAATGCCCTCTGCTGAGCCAGCCAGGAAGGGGTACCATTTCCTCTCCCAGCTCTGATCCCATCCTCAACTACTCTTTGAAACTCATTTGAGATCTTGGTCATACCAAGTGATGAAGGACTCAGGGCCTGACTGGCTATTGTTCTTTGTTGTTTGTTTGGTTTTTTTCAATGTGGCATGTGTTTCGCAGGTGGCCACTTCCCATTACGTGGTGCACAAGAATTCCTCAAGAGCCACATGTGTCGATGAAGGAAAAAGGCCACTTAGCTATGCAGTGACAATTTTCTACCTTGACTTCTACTCTGGGTCCCAGCTGACTCGAGGATCTGGGGCAGAGATAGAGCAGAATATTGTCCTGCTCCTGCTGCTATGACCACCTGGGTGTCTTCAGCAGGGTCAAGTTCAGTAGCCGTTAACAGCAGGACCCAGTTTTCAGCTCCATGCTCAGCCAGGGGTTCAGACAGGCACTCCTGACGGTGCTCTTTCCGGTTGTCTGCCCGAAGCAACGCACGGTGTCACATTCCCACTCCCTCCAACAGAATCGTTATCTCTCTGAAAGAGTAGAAGTTGGGATTTAGTCCATGGCCTTAACTTTACACCAACATCACCTGTCCCTGACTGCCAGTCCAGTGGGTGTGGATTCCATTGGCACCGAGTGGAGAAGAGGCCCTCTGGCCAGGTTTCTGGCTTCTCCTCTCCATCAAATCTTGATCCCTAGGTGATCCAATATAGTCTCATGATGGAGAAACCATCTAGATCAGGGGTTCTAAACCAGGAGCAGTTCTGGTCCCAGGGACACATGGCAATACCTGGAGTTTTTGTTGTTGTTGTTGTTTGTTTTTGTTTTTGTTTTTTAATTGTCACAACTAGCAGGCAAGTGTCAGGGATGTTGCTGAACTGCCTACAATATCCAGAACAGTTCCACACAACAAAAACTTCTCTGGCCCACAATGTCATTATCACCAAGGTTGCTCTAAAGGCCAATGATTCCTAAATTCATATAGCAAGCAATTCTAGTTATCTGTTACTGCATAACAAGCCATTCACCACTTTGTAGCTCAAAACAACAATAACTTGGTTAGCTCATGAATTGGCAGTTTGGACGGGCTCAGCCACCAAGGCTTATCTCTGCTCCACAGTGCCATGGCCTCCGCTGGGGGACTCATCTGAAGGTGCTGTTGAGGCCGCCCCTCAGCTGGGCCTCAGTGGGGGCCAGGTTCCCAGACTGAGCAGCCTGAGAGAAAGAGCCAGGTGGAAGTGGTAGCACCTTTTTGGCCTGTCCTCAGTGCCACCGATAGCCAACTCGAGTTGCCTGGCTGCCTGCCTTCACAAGTATCTAGAACACTACGAAATAAATAAGTACATTTCCCGTCCTAGCAAAGTTTACATGCTGGCAAATCAACAAATAAACCATCAACAAATAAGCATGTAAAATATACAGTGCGCTAAATGATGAGAAGCAGGAAAGATAAAAATAGGGCCAGAGAGGGGGACAGTGTTGGGAGTGATCTGACAATTCTGATGTTGCGATCCTGGAGGATCATGGGTAAGGCGATACACGAGCAGAGACTGAGATGGAGATTCAGGCCGTGAGGACACCTGGGGAGAGGAGGTCCAGGCAGAGGGTACAGCAAGAACAGGACCCTGAGGTGACCGCACTCTTGGCGAGTTTAAGGAACAACAAAGATGCCACCAGAGAGGGAGTGATAAGTGTGGGGAGGGGAGGGTTCCCCTGCGCTGCGCCCCCTGTACCTGGGGACTCCTCTTTCTGGCTTTGAGACTTACAGATCCAGGTCCAGTTTGTGACAGGCTGTTGAGTAGAGGACCAGGCAGAGAGTGAAGGGGCACTCCCTCCCTCCACAGCCTTGTCATCTGCAGAAAGGGCTGTGGGAGGGCAGAGCCATCCTGTCCCTGTCACCTCTTACCTGCTTGCAAGTTAAAGACAGGCTAGGTTCTACATCTGATCCTGGAAGACGTTTTCTTGAAATGTCTTTCCCTCTTCTCCCTGACTGGAGGGTGTTCTTTTGGGTCATACAGAGGTGACAGCACCTGTGGATTGTCTCTGGGTGGAGACGACCCCCTGCATTGGTTTGTGGCAGGTAATGGGCCTCTCTGCAGCAGCGTGTTTGCAGTGGCCTCCCATCAGATGGGCTGCTGTCCTGTGCTTGGCCCTTGAAAGAGGCAGGAGGAATCTCCTGACTCCGAGAGAGTCAGTGGTCTGATCTGTGCAGGACCGGAGTCCTTTCCCCTCCCTGGCTGCTTGTGTTTTCTTTGCTCTTAGAAAGATCTGATCTCGTCCCTGGCAGGAGTCAGGGTATTTTCAACATCAGGGGTGGTGGATGACATGTCATTTGAGAAGCAGATAACTGGCTGAGGTGTAGTTTGATCGAGGAGAGCAACAGCCTCAAGAGAGTGGAATGGAAAGGGGGCCTGAAGGGGCAGTGGGGTACCAAGGGTGCCTTCGTGACCCCGCCTGCTTCCTCCCTCAGGTCGCCTTGGAGATGCTTTGCACTGGGGAGCCCATCTCTGCTCAGCAGGCCTTGCTCCATGGGCTGCTCAGCAAAGTCGTGCCTGAAGAGCAGCTGGAGGAAGAGACCATGCGAATAGCCAGGAAGATCGCCTCCCTGAGCCGCCCCGTGATGTCTCTGGGCAAGGCCATGTTCTACAAGCAGCTGACCCAGGACCTTAGAACAGCCTACCACCTCACCTCCCAGACCATGGTGGACAACCTGGCCCTGGGGGATGCACAGGAGGGAATCAAGGCCTTTATCCAGAAGAGAAAACCCACCTGGACACACTGAGCCAGCATGAACAGAGGAATGGCGGGAGAGTGAGCCCAGTGGGCAGCACCCAGAAGCCCCCTAGTCCTCACCCCCTCACCCCTGACCGCCACTGCTGTCTCTTGATGGTAACGGAAGACAGCCTGCTTTTATGACACTAATAGTGGTCTGCTGAGGGCCATTGCCAGGTAGGAATGACGCATCGAAATTTCCTTGCCAGCGTACCCCTTGTTGCTTAGAGGAAGGACTCGTGGAAATGGACTTGCCTTGGACATTCGCTGTGACATTGCATGTATGTTTGAGAAAGGTGACCCTGCTCAAGGACCAGGGTGGATCCAGGTTTAGGGTGTATCCTGCAGGTTTTAGAAAGTATCCCGCTCCTTGGGTTTAGGGCAGTTCCAGGTTTAAGGTTATTCCTGCTAGGAATAGGGCATATCCTGCTGCCTGAGTTCCCGTTGAGTTCTTGTGGAATTCAGAAAGTATTTGGGAAAAAAAAGCCTGGTGGAGTAAGTGAATTTTGGCGGCAGAACTTGGATTTCCTGAGAACATGTTGTAGAGGGCCCGGGTGAGTTCGTGAATAAAGAATTGCTGTTTGAATCTACAAAGCTGTGAGTGGCTCGTGATCTTGTGCCCAGCCAGACTGCGGCAGTGGTCTCACAGCGTGGGCCTGTACTGAAAGTCATGATTCCACAGGGAAAGGATAGAAGGCGAGTAAGTGATGTGCTAACTTAGTGGCAGGTTAGCCCACCTGGTGGGCCAGATATGGCGGACATGCTCCTGAACAGCACCCCACGCCAGGGGCCACCCCTTCAGAGGGATGGTCAGCTGAGGCATAAAGGAGGGAAGCCCAACCCATGCTTAGCTGCCATGTCCTCTAAGGCTGAGTCAACTCTGGTTGCTTATGACAGGTGAAACATTTCAATTCTCCATGAGATGTTTTCTACACTGAAAATCTTCTTGATTCTAATGGGAAATAATCAATGCCTATGGCTTTGGAATACTTTTATGTGATTTAAATAAATTAAAGATTTTAGAGAGTGGTTGTTTTATCTTTCCAATCAGACTGCAAGCTAAGGGAAAAAAAAAACTCTTTGTATGTTCCTTCTGATGGACTCAGAGTTGGGCCTCATATTCTATGATGCATGTCCTTGCCCTCCAGGTCACTATGAAACCCACACTCTGGGCTCCAGCGTGAGGATAGAAGCAGCGGAGGAAGCAGGCTCATCCCTGCTGTGGCACATTTCTGAACTCTGTCCGCTTCTGGTAAAGAATCCAGATAGCATCAGGCCTTTGAGTTCCCCAGTCGGGCAGGCGATTGGGGAACGTATTCCTAAACACGTTACTTTTTGGTTTCTTGTCTAATGTGACTCAAGAAATGTTCCAAATCTCTT